TCCGATACTGGCTGAGGCAACAAGGGCAAGCCTTGAAACTGAGGAGATATGACTAAGGGGTTCTTTTTAGCGGTTAACGCCCAAACTTATGTCTTCTGGGGGTTAAACTGGACTAGATTTAGTCGCCCTCAATCCGAGACTCTGTTCGGCAAAGACTCGACTTCAGACACAAGTTTGTCCCGGCAATCGGAGACGTTTTCCCGAGAAATATTGGCTCGGCCGGTGTAAAGAGCATCACCAGTGCTGTCATCTGCATAGCAATGAATGTTACGGGGTTGCAACGTATCATTTATAAGCAGAATAAACAGCAGTATTAATAGGCTTGCAATCGGAGCTTGCACCGTCTACAACGACCTTGATGCTCCGCTATAAACGGTGCAAGTATTTATAAAGCCAAAACTACATCTATCTAGCCACAGCATCCTCTGGCTACCAGGTGAATAGAAGAGAATTATTGCGTGTCACCCTTACTGCCACAAAATTAACATTAATTTCTTATATAGTGCTGGAGATTGTGCGACTCAATGCGCCGGATGGGTGCGCGGGGCGTCGGCGGCGGCCGCCGTTGCTAACGGTGCCGCGGGCGCTGCGTGTGATCAACGCCATGTCGGAGCGAACTGATTTGTTTTCATGTTCGCTGAGTGAGCTCAGTAGAGTGGCATACGGTATTGTATCGTTGGCTACACTGTCGAATTAGGGTGCTAATCCTGTAAGGACTGTGTATGTTGTATGTATATAAAAAATATTATAAATTCGTATAAATTCATAAATATTTAACAACTCATGCTTCCGTTATACGGATAAACATTAAATTTCAAAACATATTTTGACAAAGTTCCAAAAACAATTCGTTCTATTATCTTAATAATTATTACAGATCATTACAATTCCGTTCAAATGAACAAAAGTCTCCTCCTCTATAGGTGTAGATTGTAACAAAACAAGGTCCTGAGCCACCTACGTATTTTAACTTTCTCCGTTTTAAATCAGGTTGTCACTGTATTTAATGGTATTATTTCTGCCCCATTTGTTCATCGAGTTATTTGACCAAGGATCCACTGAACTATGTCATTATTCTCGTAGTAGTTTCTAATATTTTCTCGTTACGAATATTTTCAACGCGGCTTCAATTTCCCTATTGTTGCAGTTGTTTAGGCTCGACGGCAGTCTATAACCATCAGGTAAGCCGCATGCTCGTTTGCCCCGCTTTTATAAAAATAATTAGCTGTCTCAAACAGACAGCAGTTCAGGGCCACGTTTTGGTTACAATATCGATATAAAATAGTTTATTAAATAAAAAAAATATTCACAAATTTTAACTGCCTTCTAGCTTTAGTTAACCGTCGTTTTTTCACCACTTGCAGTAAAAAGAGCAGTTTAAAGCTTGATAACTTCCAATCGTTGTCAATATGATACGGAAAAGTATGAAAAAAACGTACGTTTTGTCAAAGAAAAAATAAACAAATTTTGCTTATTTTTTATTATTTTTCGTTTTTTAAACTTTGCACAAAGTTTACAATATAAATGCCAAATACAAAAGCACTACATACAATCGTTTCTGTTAGTTTTAATAATAATAAAGCCTCTTAGTTTGTAGGTACCTAATAGGTTTTTAATAACATTAAGGACTCCTTCCGTAGTTGCCATGCTTGTCAGGCAGGTTGACGTTCGCAGCTTTTTTTTATTTAAGTTCTTGTCAGGATGGTGATGCAACTGCCCGTCTCCCGTTTAATTTCCTTCTGCCGTCACTTAAAATCCACGGAATTATACGGGATATTTTTAATTATCTTAAGCCATCAGTACACGGAAAACTTACAATGGACAATGGAAGAACCAATTTCAACGCAAGAAGGCCACTAGAGTGTTGTCACCCCTGAGAACAAAGATGAAATGCCTTACAGTCTGTTTTTATACTGCCTCTTTTCCTTTTGTATTAAAATCAGTTATTTTTCAAACCAAAAATGATTTTATATCTAAAAATTAAAATGACGGCTATAATACCCATAAAACATTTATAGAATTACACCTAAACGGCGACCACAGACTGCATAATAACTACACCGACAATAACGCTAACCAGTGAGATACGAGTATGCTAAGTCTGTTGCCCATTACTTATAGTCAACTAAATCTAATAAATACATTTTGACAGCTGTCAGACTTATTTCACCAAGCATGCTAACCAAAAAATGGGAACGTACAATAATCGATTCTTAAAAAAATCGATATCGATTATTTAGAGTTGCTAATCAGTTACAGTTTGGTTTGAATAATACAACAATAAATTAGAAACGGATAATTTTAAATCAAGATTTATCAGTTTCTTCATATTTTTGTTACTGCTTATAAGCGGCAAGGATATAAAAATTTAAGATAGAAACTAGATTAAAAATAAATTTTTACTGTAACGCTAGTAACTTGATTCAGTTATTATTCAAGATGATTTATATTTTTTTGTTATTTCAATTACACAAGAAGTTATTTACAAAAGCCATATTCTTGTTTTTTATTCCTAGAATAAAATATTGCCACGTTTTTTTTCCTTATAATTTCCCGCAAAAACAATTACTAATACTTCGAATATCACAACGGTCATAAAGTATGATATTCTTCAATACACTTCCAATAACACTATCAACGGAAACAACCCTATAAAATATCTTTCCCTATAATAAACTTTAGAAAGCTTTTGACATTTTACGTTTAGTACGAAATATAAACATTTAGTTTTTATTTTAATATGATATTTTCACTTAATGTTTTCAGTGATAACAATGGAGATTGAACTCGGGTGGCTTGTTGTGGAATATGAAATTTTTCCAATGTGATAGCATGAGGTCGTCTTGTAGTACGGTGTGTAGGTATGGAACTCCTCACTCCGCACGATTGTCAAGCCAATTAGTAGTAAAACGTGGAGTGTTTGAGAACAAACGACGTAGGTACCTACATCAAACCTCAAAGAAGTCTCGGCAAGCATTCGCCGAGGCGAGCGCGAGCTCTTCGTTTATTCTATTTTGTTTTTCTTTCCTAAGATAAAAATATAAACGAATTTATAAAATGTGTTCTCAACATGATCTAAAATAATAAGCAATTTAATTTGATTTAACTTTAGATATATGGATGTGGAGAAGGCGAGAGAGGTGTGTCAGTAATCGTGCCAAATGGAAGTCTGTAGTCTCTGCGTACCCCTGCAAATCATCAATTCACCAGGCCCTCATGCGAGTCTCTGCCTCCCCGCAAGCATGAGTGTTTTTGTTAATTATATATATATATATATATATATATATATATATATATATATATATATATTAAATATATTTCGAGCAAACGACTTCTTCTGAAATCATGCCTCTGATATCTGTTCCTCCTGTGGAATGCCACGATGATAATTCTACGACATCCGCAAGGTCTTCTGCAGAAACACTTCAAAATAAAGATGTTTTCGGGCCTACTAACAATAGCAAGATAGAAAGGGGGCAGTGAAAAATGTGGCACTAAGCAAAATCAGGACCTGCTTTCTAAATGCGCTATTAGTGACTTAACTTCTGCGCATAAAACTCCGACCAAAGTCACACCTTTGACATCTTCTGCTATTGCAGTAGATCAAAACGTCATCAGTTATATATATATATATATATATATATGTATATATATATATATATATATATATATATATATATATATATATATATATATATATATATATATATATATATTTCGAGCAAACGAACGTTCCGAGTTCCAACGTAACAGATACACGATAGAATTGTTATAAAAAATTTATTTTAATATAAATTTAAAAAATCTAATTATTTTGAAAAAACACTTTCACGAGATTTATTTCAGAAACGATTCTCTCAAACGAATTAACCGATTTCAATGTGGTTTGCAGCTATCGACGTCGATTTTCGAGTAGAATATCTGACTAGATAATAGACTTGATCAAAGCCAATGACGATGTAATTAAAAAAAACACTTTTTTTTTAAACTTTTGAGGCTTTGTTTTCGGAATCTAACGTGCCGATTTGATTTATATTCATAGGAGATCAAGTTCAGTGAAGCACTTTTAGATGACGCAAGGCTCTACCTAACCCTCTGGGTAACATGCATGAGTGTTTTTGTTTATTATGTATATGCTTTGAGCGAACGAACATTCCAACGTAACAGGACGTACAGGATAGAATTGTTATAAAAAATATTTAATATATATATATATATATATATATATATATATATATATATATATAGGTAAACGCACCGGTCATGGTCACTTTAAGATATTTTAATTTTATTTTTCGACCTTTTGTTATTTAATTAAAACCAAATCTGATTCAAAACTATTGGTATTGATAAAAGTAGGATTTCCGTACATACGAAAGCTTATAAATTGGTATCGTCTTTAATAGAAAAGTCAAAAAGTAATTTTAAAAAGTTGTTGTTGACAGAGCCAATGATGGTCGGCCGAAAACCCAATGTTGACCCACCATTTATGGTTTGCTCCTATTACGGCCAGCACCAATTATGGTCACTAAGCTTATTATTACGCTTTTATTCATAATAAAAGAAACTAAAAAAATATGTTTTATATTTATAATTCTGAACTTAGAATCTTACCATATTCTTAAAATCATATTAAAATCAAAATGAGATCAAAATGAGACAACGTCGTTAAAAGTAAATAACATTTCTTCCTAGGCTAGATTTCAGTCTCGTTATTAAGTGTTGAATCATAAGATGTAATAGTAAGAAGGTATATCTTAAAACCTTAAAATTATTAAAACAACAAAATGGATATTTTTTAACCTTTCTTATCATTCCCTTCCTTCATTTATTATAATTAGCCGATATTTTATAAATCAGTAAATAGGTGACTAAGTATTTTAAAAGAGGTACAACGTTTACAAAACTACTACAAGATTAACAAGCTTTAATTTTAAGAAAATAGAACATTAAATTTATACTTTAAGGCACCGTAACTGAATTTTAGTATGTTTAAATATTTATACATTATCCATTTGTGGAATAATAAAACAGCTTTTTTTTGCAAACTTAGGAATTGCTATTTGGCATACAATACTATCCCAACTATACAGTTGTAAGTCTTTTATCACAGGCCAGCGCCAAAATTCTTTGGATTTTTTAAGGCAAGATACTAGCGCCCCATCTTCAGTCACAGAAACAATTTGTCCTGGGTATTTCCTTTCATTCCAAATAACTATTACATAATCGTTGGCAGAAACGTTGCAAGAAACGGAAGTATTATTTCCTTTTGGAATTCCACAACGCAACTTTTCACTTAAATTTTCATCTGATGTAACAGAAAAGTTATAAGGCAACTGCTTTACTATAACTTTAGATGATACTATATCTTCATCAGACGTTTTTGCATCAGCTTGTTCCAAGGACAGCGGAAGTGAAATCGAGTCGCCTTGAATATCTGATTGCCTTTTATTGTTATTGCCATTTTCATTCATAGTGTTTTTTTAGCTTCAAGTCCAAGTGTTAGATCTTCATCAGATTCATCTGGTTTTCACTTTTCACATTTCACTTCCTCCTGTCTCCGCATATGTCACACCACTTACAACATCCGATTCACTGGAAGTGATAGAGACATGTCTGCGTTTCTTCATGTTTTCTTTACGTCTACTCGTATTCTTTTGTTTTTCAATTATGGCTTTTTCCTTTAACTCTTTCTTCTCTTTACGTAGTTGTTTTCTTTTTGCTTTGATATCTTCCTTTTCTTTTCTTTCTGCATCTTTTTTTGCGTAAAATTCTCTCCATGACTTACTTCTAATAGCTGATGGTATTTTTTCTTTGGATATTTTACGTTTCTTTTGTGTCGGTTCTGGCCAAAATAGAGCCTTCTTAAACGGTGATGGCTCCAGAATTCCTTTATTAAGCATGTCATGAGCAAAACTTGCAGTAGATGAAGATGGTATTAACTCGTTTTGATCTACTGCAATAGCAGAAGATGTCAAAGGTGTGACTTTGGTCGGAGTTTTATGCGCAGAAGTTAAGTCACTAATAGCGCATTTAGAAAGCAGGTCCTGATTTTGCTTAGTGCCACCTTTTCACTGCCTCTTTCTATCTTACTATTGTTAGTAGGCCCGAAAACATCTTTATTTTGAAGTGTTTCTGCAGAAGACCTTGCAGATGTCGTAGAATTATCATCGTGGCATTCCAAGGGACATATTAGAGGCACGATTTCAGAAGAAGTCGTTTGTTCAGAAACAGTTATCATTCGGGTTGTATTTTGCTCAACACCCGGTCTATCATCTTTTTTATTAGTAACAGCTTTTGTATTGCTTTCAGAAACAGTAACTGCACACAAATGTTTATATTTGGCCCAGATAGTGTACATTCCAAATCTTCAGTCGGCAATACATCAGCTAATTCTGACATAGGTAAGTAAAAACATTTGTTAAAGGTGTCTAGTTTAGACCGTTTAAATATCTTTACGATTTCTGCTTCGAGTTGGCTTAAAAAAGCTTGGTTTTTTGTAGAATCACAGGCGCTTTTACTTGTAAATGCTCTGTTTTGGATGTTTAACTTAGTAAAGTCTACTAGATCTGGGCCATAAGGAAAAAGTCCTCCCACTCGAAACCCATTTTTTATGCAGTCCGGAGTTATACTTTCTAATGCACGTTTTAGTATTGGGGCAAAGTTTTCTTTTTTTCACTTGCTCTCCCAAATTTTCAGTCTTCCATTTTCTTGTTTCCTGTCGCCAAAACAGTTTCAGTGGCCTAAATACCGACACATCCATGGGTTGCAGCAAGTGAGTACTGTTTGGGTATAGAGCGATAACTTCAATTTGTTTCTCTCTGCAGAAATCTGACAAATGTTTAGTCAAATGGGAAGTATGACCATCCAGAAAAAAAGATTATGGGGAACTTCGTACTGTTTTGAACCAACCAGGGATATAATGTATTGGTTACATATTCGTAGAATGTACTCCCGCACTTCCAGCCGTTTTCTGAACGGCCAATGCCCCAATTTTCAGGAATACTTCGGGCAATAGCTCGGGGAATGCGTTCGTAAGAGAACACTATCATTGGTGGTGCTAACTGTTCTGCTGCATTGGCTGTCAAAAGAACTGTAAGGTTTTCTTTTTCGTTCTGTGACATAGAATATATATTTTTTCTCCTCTTTTAAATAAAACACGGTCAGGTTTGGGATTTAAGAAAAACGCGTCTTTCGTCGGTATTAAATATCCGCGTTGGATCCTTCAAATCCTAAATACTTCCTACGTCTGCAAACCATTTGACTATATGTTCTTCTTTTACAGATTCTCTTGATGTGGTTAAGTTTTGTGAAACTCTCTCAGATATTTCTGGATGTCTTTTTAAAAATAAATCGAACCATTTCCTCCCTGGTCTGTCATTCGTAAATGGATTTTTCTATTAGCAGATTTTATAATTAGTTGAACAGAATCTAATAGCTGTTCCTTTCCTATCGGGCAATGTCGTTCTGCCATTGCAAACAACCATTCTTTTAATATGGCTTCCTCATTCATAGAAAGTATTGTAGGAGGACCCATATGACAGACAGCAGGACTCTTTCCCGTTACTTTATTCCTTAAGGTCATTCTTGGTACACCATATTTCTCAGCTGCAGCTGAATAACTGTCCCCTTTTCTAACAGCTTCCATTGCAAGGCACATTTGATGAGGCGTGTAGTTTTTCTTTGGTGCCATCGTTACCTTATGAAACAAAGAAATCAAAATTATAAAAAATATCTATTTTGCAAAACAATACACCCTTTTTTGGACAGTCGTGTATAAAGGTTAAAACTTAATTGTATAACAGCAAAAAAAATTATATAATACTCCATTATAATGCAAACATTATGGTCTGTGATCCAGTCATGGTCACCCCAATAATGGTAACTATGACCATTACTGGACCGGTATGTTCAAACGAGGCGCTGATAAAATTTGAACTCGTTTCTGTGGATAAACATTCAAAATTTTATGAAAAAAGCTAAAAACCCTATTGTGCCCATCATGGTCAATTTGACCATCATTAGAAATATCATACGTTCCAGTAATGGTCAGTTCAGTTTAAGAAGTCTACAAAATAGAAATATGTGCATTTTTTGGTATCATTCATCACACAGGTATATTACCTTAAGTATCAAAACAAAGAAATATCTCAAAACCCTTATATAATTATAAAATAATAAACAGAAGTACTCACCAACCTTATCAAAAATAACACTAATTATATAAATTCACCACCGCATTCTGTTCAAGGGCCCGCCATGTTGCAAATGTCACGTGTCAAAATGACAAACGTCATTTTTTCACAAGCTGAGTGTCTATGGTTTATCACTAAATGTTGCCATTTTCCCTACAACGTTTAGTTTTCTTATTTTGCCGTTTTATTTCGAAATTGACCATCAATAGAACGCTTACCAAGACTGGTACATATATATATATATATATATATATTTATATATATATAATTTAAAAAAAAACATTTACGAGATTAATTTCAGCAACGATATCTCTCGCACGCAAAACAAGGGTGTTGAAGTAATTAAAAACAAAACACTATTTTTGAAAATTAGAAAAATTCCATTTTGAGTTTTTACCTAATCTACCGCCGATTCGGTCTAAATTCACAGGAAATCCAAGTTCAGCGAGCCCCCTTCAGATGCCGCAATCCGCTTTTCGATCGGAGACACACACATGTAGACATACGGAAACCATCGCCAAAATAGCCAGAATAGCTTCCTAGGACCTCGAAATATCGATATAATATGATAAAAATTCAATTTTCGAAAATCGACGTGAACTACCCGACGGAAAACAATAACTTCCCGATTGTTTGAAAATCATTAATTTTCTTGCATTCCATATGGAACGTCTGTAATTTCACGACGTAAATATATATATACTTTAGTCAGTTTATAGTCAACCGAATCTAAGAAATACCTTTTGACGTTTCACATTAATCATTCAGCAATAACTTTGCACAAGCGTACTCACACGATTTAAAATAACCTTTTACGTAAATCCGAAGAATTATAAAGTTATCTATATTTCATTACAACGTGTATAGTTTTTTATCACTAAATTAAATTTGGATCTTTCAAACAAAGCAAAGTATTAAAAAAATAATCAGTATCAACTTTTTGTACTTGACGTCGTTTCAATGATATGTCGCTATCTACATTACCGTAGTGTTTGGATGATTATAATTAATTGTTATGTGAGTAATCGGCAAAAATATTCTCATAATCGGTAAAAATATTCGAATAATCTAACAATAAATTTTTAATGTAATATTTTTTAATTTAATTTTTATTTTTAAAATTCAATAAATTACATGAATCGTGAATAAAACAAGTTTTCTTTTAAATTTTTCAACGTTAATTTGTGTTTGCAAAAAAACTCATATACAAGGCCGCGATATAAAAACCACTACGTAATTTCAATATCCCGCCATTTCGGTAACTTACCGTGCGAATTTTAAAATTTTGTGTTTGTCTTCTTATTGTATGAGTCGGCTTTAACTTTTTACTGTTTCTTCAGTATTCGTTGAAGCATGTGCCTATTTCACAAAGGATCATTGGGAAAAAGTGGCAGAAAAAGCAAAAAAATTTTTAATATGAATGACTTTAAAAGCGACATTAATTTTGACTGCATTATTGAAAAACAAAAAACGACAGCTCAACTAGTTACTAAATTAAAAATAAATTTATTCAATTCCTGAAAGTGATTGAATAAATTTATTTTTAATTTAGCTATAATCTTAAATTTTTATAACTGTGCCTCTAAAAATAACAACAAATACTTAGAAACTGATAAATCTTGTGTTTTAAATTATCCGTTTTTAATTTATTCTAGTATTATTCAAACCAAACTGTAAATGATTACCAACTCTAAATAATCGATATCGATTTTTTTTAAGAATCGATATCGATTATTTAGAGTTGGTAATCATTTAGTTAGGTTTGAATAATACCAGAATAAATTAAAAATGGATAATTTAAAACACAACATTTATCAGTTTCTTCGTATTTTCTGTTACTGCTTATGTCTAGAGGCACAGTTATAAAAAAATAAGATTGAAACTAGATTAAAAATAAATTTATTCAATCACTTTCAGTAAAACTGGTAGAGATATCGTTTTTTATATTAATTATTATTCGATTTTCAATAATGCAGTCAAAATTAATGTCTCTTTCAAAGTCATCCAGAATCATTTTTTTGTATTTTCTACCACTTTTGCCCAATCATGCTTTGTGACATGGGCACATGCTTCAACGAATGTATATTTTTATGGCAATGGATGACAAACGAGCACACAGTCCACCTGATGGTAAGCGGATGCTATGGCCCATAGACGTACATATTTATTCTCAACTAAGAATCAAAATGCAAATGCGTTGTTACCCCAGAGGATTAAGATGTAATGCCTCGATTCCAGTAAAAAGGGTCTCCGGTTCTCTACAATCACCATACAAAACACAGCAGCATCACGCTGCTATTTTATACTGGTATTCTGTGACAGCGTGGTCCTGCCCCAGTTGAGCCGACCCATTCGTGCTACAACTATAATATAGATGTAGCGTGACTCTACCACGTACAAAAAGTTATTATAGAAGAAACAGTCCAAAAAGTTAAAGCACAGTCACAAATAAGAAGACAAACAAAAAACCACAAAATTACGCACAGTAAGCTCTCGAAACAGAACAGAAACAGAATTTTTTTTTATTCGATATGGATTATTACGAATAATACTTATTTAAAGTCACTTTTTTCGTTTACCACTGGTTCGCAAAAAATATAATGGCAATGATATGTCGCTATGTATAATACCGTTCTGTTTGGATGATTAAAATTCTTTGTTATGCGAATGATCGGCAAAATATTCAAATAATCGGTAAAAATTTTCAAATAATCGAATCATTAAAATTTTTAATGTATTATTTATTTAATTTAATTTTTATTTTCAAAATTTCTTAACTTACATGAATCATGAATAAAACAAGTTTATTTTTTTTACATTGTCAAAGTAAATTTGTGTAGACAAAAAACTCATATACAAGGCCGTGCTAAAATAACCACTACATAATTTCAATACCCCACCATTTCGGTACCAGTTACTAAACTCCACAGAAGCAGTAATTCATTCTTGGGGCGATCTATATGCTTTAACAACAAAATTCCAGAAAATATACAAAATTTGACGTAAGTCCACAAAGTTTAAAAACATTATTAAACTAAGTTTGTATAAAAAGGGTTATTTTAATATTAAAGAATTTATGGATGATTATAACTCCTGGGAAGGGTGATCGCTACCAAGCTATTTCTAATTTGTTTTGTGTTGTTAATTGTAACACGCATGATTGCAAGCTCTTATTTATAAAAAAACTAGTCCCGTCGGGTTTCTTGCTGGTTCTTCCCAGGACAGAGGTTTTTTTTTATCCATCGAGAATTTTAATCATCCAAACACAATGGTATTACACATAGCGACATATCATTGAAGCGACCTCAAGTAAAAAAAGTTAATACTGGTTATTTTTTTATATTTCATATTTATTATTATTATTACAAACCAAACGACATTCTAAATCCTAATTCTAATACTAAAAACCTTAAAAATATATATTATAATAACTAAAATAAATTATTAAAAAGGAGGTCCTTTAGGCAAGGTTCCGAAGATACTGGCAGCGTTTCCCCGTTGAATAGCTAGACTAATTCTTTGTCCGAGGTAGCTGCCAGCTCTTCGGTCTCCTGTGACGTCGATTAACCTTTTTGCTATTTCCTTAAAAATGCTTATATCGCTAGGACCCCACGGACCAAGGGTCTCGACACCGAAAGGGACAAAAATATATTCGGAGCCTAGACCCCTATTTACATACTTTAGCATTTTCAGCCGCTTCACAAGCCGCACCACCGTTCCATGTAGATGGGAAGGGGCCAGTGTGTCCGAACAAGTTGCATCCCATTACAGCACCCAGCCCATCTTCCATGGCATCAAACTCATACCTTCCGGTCTCTTGCCATCGTCTCTTGCAATACCAGACGGCTCAAGTAGACCTGACACGTTCACGGTGGCAAGAGACCGGCGTATGATATTGTTAAGTGCTGCACATCTCGAGAAGCGACCTGCATTTTTTGGCATGATAGCCCGTGATGTCCTAGCTTGTCGATGTCACTGCCACACGGACATTTATGAGGAGCGCAGACCGGAACCCCAAGAAGTAGACAGGTTGCGATTTGGAGCGTGTCAGGCTCAAGAAATATTCCTGTATTTGACGAAGGGTACGCGTGAAGCCAGTAGCCGGCCTCATGCGTACCCACGGCCAAAACCTGTACAAGAGCTCAAAAGATTGACATAAATCAATTTAAGGTTATGTCGTCCCAGCTCCTCTGTGAATTTAGAGGAAATCGAAAATTTTGACCAGGGCATACAATTAAGAAAGCGTTTCTAGATTCTTCCAGGCCAGCAATCTCAAAGTTTGAAGGGGATGCCCTTAAAATTTTACTTATGAGATTTGATGAACTATGGACAGAAGATAGGAAGGCTGGTAAAGATACACTGGAAATTTTGTGAATCCCTAAACCACTATAACGGATGGGTAGGGATGCTTGGGTCCGGAGATTGCTCGTTCAGGTGTATATTATGAATCGATTCTAAATTAATTTTGAATAAGTTGTCTACTTGTGTCAAGAGGTCT